CCTCAAGGTTTGTTAGTGGGTTTGAAAACATGATTTTTTTAAGCTTAAGGCAAATGGCCACAGCTTGGAAAGAGATTTTTGAAAAAAAAACAAACTCTTTGAGTTTTAGACAGTCCTGTGAAGTCATTTAATGGAAATGGCTGTATTGACAAGGGCTGCTGATAAAAAAAAGTTTACAGTGTAATTAGACGGCCTTGGAGTAAAAAGTTAGTGTTGGTTGAGGACCAGAAGTATTGGGATGAAACTTTGAAGAGGTTACTTAAAGCTGAGTGCATTTAACATCTGGTCTAATATTTTCAGGAAGGAGCTGTTTGTAGATACAGTTTATGAGCTAAAGTCACAGAGCCATGGAGTCATAGAGATGTACAGCCTGGAAGTAGACCCTTTGGTCCAACTTGTCCATGCTGACCAGATATCCTAATCTAGTCCCATTTGCCAGCATTTGGCCCATATCCCTTTAAATGCTTCCTATTCATTGTCACAAAGTAGGGTAGTGTAGTCATGAATTGGAAGGCAGTAAGTTAGAATGGTTGGTAAAAAATGATAGTGGGGAAAAAGAGTGCCTGGTCCCTTTAAGAGATTATGCTTTCTCTGTGCTTGGAAGTTTACAAGTACTGCGCACAGACAGTGTCCAAATTGAAACATTTTGTATCGAACAGCCAAGCAGCATGTTTACCAAGTCAACCAGTTTGAATTTGGTCAATAAATTTAAACCAAGCACTCAGCAATTCAAAGCCAATTGAGTTTAAAAACTGATGGTGTTGACAACATCAGATCAATCATACATAAGGAATACTACTATGTCATTATGGGAATAAAGAATGGGGCATTTGGAAAATCGGGAGAGATCCAACTTCCACCTGAGGGGAGAGCCAAAATTTAGCTGCAGCGAACACAAGTCTGCCATCTGAGATGCAAACCTGCCCTCCATGTAAAATTATTGAGCTCTCTGAAAAGACCCATCAAAGGTACCACAACGTTATAGCTCAAAGTCCTCACCGAAGAAATTAAAGAGAAGAACATCCAAAGACAGGAGAGTCATTGGAGGAAAGGCATTTGTGATGTGAGATCAACAGCAGGAAGATTGGAGATAAGGCAGACAAGGCACAGACTATGCAAACTTGGAAAGATTAAGTATTTAATTTTTTTTATTATTAACTGGGTTTGTACAAGTGAGGCTTGTGTTTATTTGAACAGCATTCCAGTAAGATTCAGACCAGTTAGGAAGTAGTTAGTAGTCTGGGGGGGAATTGTTTGGTTTGTTAGTAATTCTGTTAATTTGTTCATTGCTAAGGTTAAATAGCTTGTTATTTATAAAGTGGATCAGGGATTTTCTTTCTTTTGACCAATCTTTTAACAGATTACGAGGGGAAAGGTGAGTTTCTCTGGGTGTTTCGGGGGTAACTATTAGAAGGGAACCTCTACTGATGTCATAACAGGTTGGGGCTTGTGTTTTGGTTTAATCATCAGACGGGTTTAGCCACTCCCCTTCCGTAACATTCATGTACCCATCCAGATGCCTTTTAAATGTTGTAGTTGTAAAAGCCTCCACCACCTCCTCTGGCAGCTTATTCCATACACGCACCACCCTCTGTGCGAAAAAGTTGCCCTACAGGTCCTTTTTAAATCTTTCCCCTCTCACCTTAAACCTATGCCTTCTAGTTTTGGACTCCCCTACCCTGGGAAAAAAAGACCTTGAACTATTCAGCCATAGAGATCTTAAACATATTGAGGTGTTAGATGCAAGTTCTCCGGTGTGAGTACTGTAAAAGTGGTGATTTTGGGGACTATCCAAGACCTGGTTGTTGTTGCTTACCTTTGCAATCTATAAAGAAGTGCTTTAGGATTAATGGGATTACATTTCTGCTGTATGTTTAAAAACTTTGAACTTGTGTTCTAATAGTTTGGTATATTCTGTTTTATCTATTTCCTGTTCTGTTGTTAAAAATCTGCAAAACTATAATAGTTTCATTGAAAGATCACTTTGGTTAAACCGAAACAAAACATGATCTATCCAGCCAGGATTCAAACTGGGATCTGGCTTGTGTTGTAAGTAGCCTGTGGGAAAGCTGTCATTGGATTTTATGTGCCAGCGGTCAAGGTCAAAATCCAGCCCTTAGATTAGCTATAATTAATGTGAGGTTGAGATGAGAGACTGACTAATGGGGCATTGGAATATTTAAAATTCTCAGCAGATCTGGCAGCATCAGTGGAGAGAGAAACAGAGTTAACATTTCAGGTTACCACCTCTCAGGTTATGACTTGAATTTAACTGTTTCTTTCTCCATTGTCACTGCCAGACCTGCCAAGTTTCTTCAGCATTTTGTGTTTTTATTTCAGATTGCTGTATTGAGGTCAGGAGCTGAGTGGCCCTGCCGGAACCCAAACTGGGCGTCACTGAGCAGGTTATTGCTGAGCAGGTGCTGCTTGATAGCGCTGTCGATGACATCTTCCATCATTTTACTTATGATCAAGATGGGGTGGAAATTGGCCATGTTGGATTTGTCTTAATTTTTATGTACAGGACATATTTGGGCAATTTTCCACATTGTCGGGTAGGTGCCAATGTTGCAACTGTACTGGAACAGCTTGGCTAGGGGAGCAGCAAGTTCTGAAGCACAAGTCTTCAGTATGATTGCCGGAATATTGTCAGGGCCCATAGCCTTTGCAGTATCCAGTGTCTCCTACCATTTCTTGATATCATGTGGAGTGAATCGAGTTGGCTGAAAAATGGTATCTCTAATACTGGGGACCACTGGAGGAGGCTGAAATGGATCATCCACTCGGCACTTCTGGCTGAAGATTGCTTCAAATGCTTCAGCCTTGCTTTTGCACTGATGCGCTGGACTCTTCCATCATTGAGGATGGGGATATTTGTGCAGCTTCTTCCCATAGTGAGTTGTTTAATGGACTGTCCTACAATACAGGAAAGAGCTACTGCTGGGGATCTGAGAAACATTATTTGTCATGAATGTAAACAAGATGGTTTCAAGAATGAAGAACCTCAGCAACGTGTTCTCATTGATGCTAGGGTTGAGAATCAAGTTACCCTTATTCAATATTAATGGCAGATGAACCAATATTGATGAGAAAAAACAACATTTTACATTGTGGGAGTTTAGGATTTGGAGTGGATTCAGTTATTGCTGTCGTGACAGATTTGGGGAAGGACATGAATAAAGTAATTGTATATTTCTGGGGAAAGGGTTGGGGTGAGTGGACCTAGCTGACTGGCTCTTGCAGAGAGTCAGCACAGATACAAAGGGAATGGCCTCTTTCTGTGCTGTAACCATTTTGAGGTTAATGTTTGCATCCCATCCTTACATTGCTGCTACACCACAAGTGTTAGATCTGCAACTGGTGACAGAGTGCAGCCCCTGAGTAGCATTCTGCCTGTGTTCTGTCTATATATCAGCCACGTTTCAGAGCCAGGACAGGGGAAAATGAATGATTCCTTGTTGAACAACACAGAACTTCTCCTAGATCGTGTACATTGATGGGCTCCTTGTTTGTGGAAAGCCTGAGTGTCAAATCTTTGACCAATACCTGCTTATGTGCATAACGTTCAGGACGCAGAAAACCCAAATTGATCACTTTTCAGTTTTCACCTCTGGGACTGAGTGAAATGCAGTTCTTTCCGAGCTCGTCCCGTCCAGCATAGTCATCTCCTCAGGGGTACAGGACAATTTGCAATGAGATCAGGAGAACCCCAGTTGTCATGTATCAACAACATCAGTAAGATTAAGAAAGAGGTCTGTTGAGGGAATAAATTGTTAAAAAAAAGACAGTACAAGGGTTATGACGTTTGTATCAATGCTTGAACCACAAGCAAATTGATGTAGGGTAAATAAGATCAGGGAGTTGCATGCTTGGCTCAAAGATTGGTGTGGGAGGAATGGGTTACAATTCATGAGGGACTGGGAAGAATGAGCTGCACTATTGGCCTTTTTTAAAATGGTGCTAGGTCCAGCAACGAGGGAAGTTCTATAACTAAGGCTGTTCAGAGGGTTTTAAATGATAAAAGGTGGTGGTGGCGGGGAGGGGGGGAGGTGGTTAAAGTGAAGGGGAGGTTTTTTTTATAAGGTCATCTCTCAACCTCCTACGTTCCAGAGGAAAAAAATCCCAGCCTATCCAGCATCTCGTTATAAGTAAAACCTTCCATTTCTGGCAACATCCTGGTAAATCTCTTCTGAACCCTCTCCATCTTAATAATATCCTTCCTATAACAGGGAGACCAGGACTGGACACTGTATTCCAGAAGAGGCCTCACCAACGTCCTGTACAACCTCAACATAACGTCTCAACTCCTATACTCAAAGGTCTGAGCAATGAAGGCAAGTGTGCTAAATGCCTTCTTAATCACCCTGTCTACTCGTGATGTAACTTCAAAGAATTAGGTACCTGAACCCTCAGGTCTCTCTGTTCTGCATTACCCAAGGCCCTACTTTCAATTGTATAAGTCTTGCCTTTGTTTGCTTTACCAAAATGCAATACCTCGCATTTATCTAAATTAAACTTCATCTGTCACTCTTCAGCCTATTAACTCAACTGATCAAGATCGCTTTGTCATCTGAGATAACCTTCTTCACTGTCCACTAACCACCAAACTTGTATTGAAACTTCTGGAGGAATCAGGTGTGATCATATTCTGAGGGGACTAGAAAGGGTAGATTCTGAAAGAATGGTCCCTCATTAGGCAAAATTTAGAACTAGAGGGCACAGTTTCAAAATAAGGCATCTCCCATTAAAGTTGAAGATTAGGAGAAATGTCTTTCCTCAGAGATGTCACTACCTCAGTAACCACTAAAGGCTGGGTCAGAAAGATTTTGAATTTATAAGCGAGTCAGGCATTGTGAGGAGTTGCTTTGAGTGCAGTCTTGTTTGATTCCAAAAGAAAACTCAGCCCTGTTTGTTTATTTGCTGAGAAGCAGTTATTGAGAAAGTGTGCCATTGAAAGAAAAGCCTTATTTAAAACATAAGATGAACAATTACAAAGTCCATGGATTTTTAAAAATATTTTTATTTATTATTCTGTCACTTGCACAATGCCAAAGTCAGAAGACAGTTCTGCTTTGTGCTGATTGACCATTTTTCTCAACAGTCATCCTGCCCATTGTGGTAAAGAGTGAAATTTGTTGTACAATGATTAGAAACAGCCCACCAGTCCTGCAGGCCTTTGGCTGTCCTCCAATGGGGCACCGTCCTGTCCAACTGTCCACCAATGGGGCACCGTCCTGTCTGACTGTCAACCAATGGGGCACCATGCTGTCTGTCAACCAATGGGGCACAGTCTTGTCTGACTGTCCACCAATGGTACGCCTAGCTATCTGACCATCCACCAATGGTGCTCCTAGCTGTCTGACCTCACCCCCTCCCCTCTCTGTGGGTACTCCTAGCTGTTTGACCCTTCTCCAATGGTGCAAGACCTTCTTTGACTATCCTCTAAAGTCATACCAGCTACCTGTCCTCTGATGGGGCACCATGCTGTCTGACTATCCTCCAATCAGGCACCTTGCTGACTGACTGTCCACCAATGGGGCTCCTAGCTGTCTGACCATTCTTCAATGGTGTCCCTTGCTGTCTGACTATCTTCCAATGTAATATTAGCTGCCTGTCTTCCAATGGGGCACCTTGCTGTCTGACTGTCCTCCAATGGGGCACCTTGCTGTCTGACTGTCCTCCAATGGGGCACTTTGTTGTCTGACTGTCCTCCAATGGGGCACCTTGTTGTCTGACTTTCCTCCAAGGGGTACCTTGCTGTCCGACTGTCTTCCAATGGGGTACCGTGGTGTCTGACCCTCCGCCAATGGTGTTCCTCACTGCCTTTGACTATTCTCCAATGGCACTGCCTCCTGTCCAACTCTCCTCTAATAGTGTTATTATTTGTAGTACCATCTGACAAATATCTTCCACCAAGGAGCCAGCTTTCTTGTCGTACTCTGAGTAGTTCGAACTCCTCCATTAGTGCTCTTAGGGCCCAGCTTATCTCCAGTAGCTCTATAAACAGTCCAGCAGTACTCCAAATGCTCCAACAGTTCTGGCAATTGTTAAAAAGTACTCTTACCACTCCATGAAATTTCCAGGCTTACAGTTCAAAAGCTCTGTGGTGAAAACTATTGTCCAAATCCCAATGATGGCATATTTGAACCAGTAACATTCCATATAACTGAAGATGACCCAACAGCGTATTAACCAGGCCAAAGAATCCGCTTTCTAAATAATCCTGCAGCCGGCCATGAGAATTCAGAGTCCAACAGTGCCACAGAGGGTTGAATAACATTAACAGCCTTAACGATTGAATCATTTGAACAGTACATCATACCCTCCAAAGAACCCTCCAATTGGATTCTCAAAGGTTCAAGGATCCTTCACCATGTCCAATTGAGTTCCAGTAATTCTCAGGCTCCAACGGTGCTCCAAATAGTTCACAGTCCTGTGATTGTCCAGTCCAATGCAATGCTGTGCTCTGATCAATGCAACCTGAGGCTTATATTAGTCTACAGTTCATCCATCACACTCTCCCTGAGGACCAAATAAATTTACAGAAGGGTGCATTTACATTTTCTACTGAAAAGAGGTCAGATTATTTTGTGGGATACCAAGAAAGGATTGATTTCTCTTTTTGTCAGCCAGTCATCATACCAATCGGTTTCATTGTCATTTATCCATTGTTGGACAGGGCGAGGACCTCGTGCCAAACTCCACATCGTCTGATGTACCTCAGCACTTTCCAAAATATGACAAGGCTTCAATAAGGGCACATGGAAACTAAACTTTGATGTGTTTTTCGAACTGGATGGCTTCAACAGAAATGGATCGATACGCAAGCGTCAGTTGTCACGGGGAAAGGACACATTGAAACTGCGCAGAGACTCACTGGCATGTGGGACTGAAAGTTGGCCAGGGAGGTGACTGAACTCACTTTTATTCCCCTCAATACATCAAACGCAGTTTGCACTATTATAAAATTCTCCCTCAGTTAGAGCAGAGATCTTGAAGTTAGTCTTGGACAAAGAAGGTGCTTCAACCTTAATCCCTTGAATCATACCTTCTTGACATTGCTACAGTCCAATGGGCTTCTTACATTATCCTAATGTCCCAGCTCAATCATCCCTTTTTACTAGCAACCCTTCCCACTAGTTGATCTCAATCCACCTCCAGAGATCCTGTCCCAGCCTTGCCTCAATGAAATAATCCCTGCATGTTTGTGCAGAGAAGGTGACAAGTTCATACTTTGGGGAAATTTAACTGAATTTCTCAACTATTTGTCAAAAATGTTGTGCAGCTCTGTATTTTGTTTTGATCCTTGGCTTGATCTTGACTTGAACATCAAGCAGAGCTCTGCGTCTTTCGCGGTTTCAGTTCGATGGCTGCTAAAGAACCACCCCACCCTGACTGTATCCTGGGAAATGTAGAAACATTTTGGCATTAGTCTCACTGGGTTTTAAAGGAATGGCTCTGAAGGTGTGTGGAGCACAGAAATCTTGTCCTTCAGATCCATCAAATGTAAGAATTTAAGCAAATAATGTTTTTCACCAATTTGGTCAAAGGGCCCACGATGGAGGCTTTTGTTACCAAGAACAAGCAACAATGTCCTCCAGTTACAAAAACAAACCCGACTAATTTATTTGATTCCAATTCACCCCCCAAGTGAACTCAATGTTTCTCGCCCTCTAGTGACTCGGTTATAAGGGCAACCCTTTCTTTTGATGAGATTTTTGATTTTGATATGATTCTCTGGTAGGATCTGCTTTGTTTCCTTTCACAGAAGTTGACAAACTTTCACGGCCTTGTTATTGTTACGCATGAATCCCCAAACCAAACTCGGCCATTGGAATCAGCTCAATCTCAGCTTATCCCAACCCAAGCGACAACGGCCGTTTCCTTGAGACACTCAAGCTCCAGTGTAATGGCCAAGGGTCCAAACTTTGTAGCGCGTCTTCCTCTCAGCGTGGGAAATAGCCACCATGAAGTACCCCCACCCTCCACAATCTGATTCTCCCCAGACAACTCACTTCGAAAGGGTACACTCTGCTTCTTCCTCCACTGCCGCCACCAGATCAACTTTTCCAGACTTTTCTGTGTTCGTCTCAGAGCTCCAGCACGCTCAGTATTTTTTCACTCATCTCTGACCAATCACAAAGGACGTTTGGGACAGAGCAGGGTTTAGACTGCTTACTGCCTCAGGAGAGGGTCGATTTTTCTTTTGCCAGCAAGGGGCTTTGACCCTTGAATTTGCCGCAAGCAGCTGGGATGTCGGGACAGTGGCGGAATCCCCTAACTGTGACAAAGGACGGTCCGGGGGAGGGGGAGGGGGCGGGGGACCAACATGGAGTAGTTTGGCGAAGCCGGTTGCTAGGTTCCACCAACAACAGGAACGGCACTGCTGTTCCCAGGGGCTCTCTGCTGCGCCCCCCCCACCCCTCCTCTTGTTCTGGTTAACCTTCACGTTCGCTAGTGTGACTGTGTTGTGCACCCGAAAGGGCGGAGACCCTCTGAATAATCAAGGGGAGCAATGTTGTGGGGCACTCCATCTGAGGAAGGCTCGACGGCCAACAGGGACCTCCCTCAAAGGGCAAGACAATAAGGTGGGGGGGCGCTGGGGAGGAACAGTTTGGAGGCCTTAAATAGCGAACGGCAGGAATATTTTAACAGCGCCTCGGAGGACTCAAAGTAAACTCTTGTAAGCACGACTCTTCCGCCCAAATCCTGACAGACAGTCGGTGGGCACGCACGTGGAATTTTGGTTTTGGTTTTTGCGCGAAAGGCTGCACACACGGCACCCCACCCCATTTCGCTCCTCGCAGCAGTGTGTTCAAGTGAAGTCGGCTGAGGACGGCCTGGGGGGGGGGGGGGGGGGGGGGTGGGGAGGGGGAGTCGTCTCTCTCAGCTATTGTTTTCAGCAGTCAGGTACTTGAGAGCTGCAAACCCGTAGCGGCGAGACATGTCTTGCTGAAACTCCTCCTTCAGCGTCTTCAGGCAGATTCGATATTGCTTGTTGGATCGGAATTTGGTGATGTCAAAGCTGGGGGCGTGAGGCATGTGAATCATGTAGGCGTTGGGGAGGACGATAAACTCATATTCCTGCAAGAGAGAGAGAGAGAGAGAGAGAGAGAGAGGGGTGGGGGATGGAAAACACCCAGTTAAATGGGTCAGTGCCATTAAAGGAGACTTTAACAACGGGTTTTTAGCTTAATTGTAGCTTTCCCAACTGTGAGACAGGAGGTAGAAGCTAAAACATAGAATTAGAGTTAGATATGGCTCTTGGGGCCAAGGGTGTGAGGAGAAAGTATGAGGTATGGAGTTGGGTGGGCAGCCACGCTCGTATTGAGGGGCACGGAGGCTCAGCGGTTAGCATTGCTGCCTCACAGCGTCACACACCGCGGTTCGATTCCACCCTCGGGCGACGGTCTGTGTTGAGTTTGCACGTTCTCCCTGTGTCTGCGTGGGCTTCCTCCGGGTGCTCCGGTTTCCTCCCACAGTCCAAAGACGCGCAGGTTAGGGTGGATTGGCCATGTGGGGTAGCGGGGATAGGTAGGGGTCTGGGTGGAATGCCCTCTGGAGGATCAGTGCAGATTCGGTGGGCCGAATGGCCTTTTTCCGCACTGTAGGGATCCCATGAATGGTGGAGGGAGACTCAAAAGGCTCCTATTTTCTACATTTCCATGTCTGAACCCAGTTCACGATAGTCTGGTGAAGGGAGACTGCAGCTGGTCTGTAAATAAACAGCTCATATCCTGGGATAGTAGTCCGAAGATCGGCACTTTGAATACTGTGAGGATGTCCAGCTCAGAGCAATGTGTCTGATGAGTACAGCAGAAACCAGCCTTTTGCTGCCCTCCCAAAGCCCTCTAACTGCAGGAGCTGGCACTAAGATTAAAAGCAGTGCAGAAACGAACTCTGGTGTGAAACCTGAGTCATGATCCGCTCTAGGGCTCCATTCCAAAGATGAATGGACAGGAGTCAGGTTTCAAAAGCTTGCTTTGCGCTGAATACTGACAACAGTTAACCAGCTGCCCAAAGTTCAGGAATCTGCTTCCCCTCTTTTATTTCAAGGGGAGGCGATGGTCCAGTGGTAATATCGCTGCACTGTTAATCCAGAGACCCAGATAATGTTCTGGGGATGTGGGTTTGAATCCTGCCACAGCAGATGGTGGAATTTGAATTTTAAAAAATCGCTGGAATTAAGAATCTAATGATGACAGTGAATCCATTGTTGGTAAAACCCATCTGCTTCACTCATGTCCTTTAGGGAAGGAAACTACCGTCCTTACCTGGTCTGGCCTACAATGTGACTCCAGACCCACAGCAATGTGGTTAACTCTTAACTCTTGCCATCTAGGCAACTAGGGATAGGCAATAAATGCTGCCTGGTCAGTGGCACCCTCCTTACCGTAAATGAATACCTGACAAATGCTAGGGTACACCTCCTTAACGATATAGCCAGTCCTCATGAATGACACATTTACAGTGCTCCCAAGCATATTCACAACCTAAGCTTGCCTGACACTGGTTGGGCAGTATCCAGCATTCAAAACCCTGTGTGCTTTATCTCCTTTAGTCCAAGGCAAGTGGGGAGTATTCCATCACACTCCTTTATACTCTAAAAAATGAACTTAATCGACTGTGAAGCACTTTGATGGTGAAAGGTGCCATGAACAAGCAAGTCCCCCTGACATTTACCATGCGTTGTCAGTAGTGTTGCTTTTAGATGGGATCTTGAACTGGGCACTTGGGTGGGGGTGGGGGAGAGACGGTGGGCATAGAAGGAACCATGGCACTATTTCGAAGAAGTGCATAAAATTCTCCCAGTGTTCTGATGCAGCTTCATCTATTGGTCAACCCACATCGGTCAATCAGATTACCCAGTCACTATCCCACTGCTGCTTCCAGCAACTTGCTGTGCAACATGTTGACTGCCATGATATCTCTAACAGTGTAACACTTCAAGAGCATTTCATTGGCTGGACAGCCCTTTATGGTGGCGCTTAGACAGTGCCAGGTGCTATAGGGATGTAGGTCTTTCATTTATTTTGTCCAGCTGAATTGGGACTGTGTCCAGAGAGGTCTTTGCGGAGCAGAATGAGAAATACAAATCAGACGATGAAGACTCCCGTAAAAGAGTCGCAGAACGCTCCCACTCCAGTAGGGACGGACGGACTCTCAATTGCATCATCTTGAGAGAAGAAAACCTCAAAGCCACTGAGGAATGGGGTTTTTAGGTGAAATATCAGGGGGTGTCAGTGAGGCAACAATTTGAGATGTTGCATCAATGAAGTGACACTGGAAGCGTGCTGCACCCATTAGCTGAACAGCGCCTTCCTCCATTCTAAGTAGCCTTTAGTGCAATAAACGTGACGGTTAACATATACGCCCAGTTTACCTGAAGGATGCTGGGATGGGATACCATACCTGTGCGTCCAGCTCCATGACATGTGCTACTTTATTCCAGCCGAACCCGACAAATCTCCTGTCGTATTCTGGGCAATCGCGCCTTACTACAACATAAGGCTCGAAGTCTACCTGCCAGTTCACGTGATAGGGCGTGGTGGCAGTCCGCCATTTGGCAAAGTTTGTTGGAGCGTGACCCTTGGTCCAAACATGATACCTACAGAGCAGAAGGTGGCAGTGAGTCGTGGACATTCTCGGCACCAGTAACAGTGCTCCCGCTGGCCACCATTAGCAGGATGGCGTTTTCCTGCAATACTTAAATGGTCACTGTCATTGTGGTAGCACCGTTTTTAACACTCAACCACACAACAAGAATACCCCCTTCACCCTGTATTTTCCATCCCACTTTCACTTGAAGTTCAAATGAAACTATATAACACTCACGCATTTAGAGAGGTCTGGAGTGGCTTGAGGCACATCAATTAGATACCTATGGCTCCTCTCACTTTCACTGTTCCTTAATGAGGTACAAACGAGAGAGAATGCACAGCCCTCTCATCTCAAAATATATTAATGCATGTGGTTCATGCTTTATGGTTGAGATTAAGGAATAGGCCGTTTCAATTATGAGCCTTGTCGTTGGCTGTATTAGGAAATTAGACGAACAATCAACAGCTATCAAATTCAGTGGCCATCAAAGAACAAGATGAGAGTTTATTCTGGATGTTATTAGAGAAAAATTAGACATGATCTGTGATTTGCTTCCAGCAGGGTACCTACACTCAATACTTATGTTGCCTCCTGCAACAAAAGAATCTAGATCTAGGTAACATGGTATTGAAGAATCTAACAGAATGTTTGTTACAGGTCCCTGTTATTGACAAATGTTCAACTTCAGCTTTCAACTTCAATGGGCGAGAGGGGGGGAAGGGGGTGATCAATCAGAGAAAAATGATCTCCTAAAGTTAAATGGAAGGAAAGAGTGAGAAGCTTCTCCTCCAATCACAGGCTATATCTCTCCCACAATTGTTGCTGATAGGCTCACTAAAACTTAATAAACTTCATGGCCGTGGTTCACTCTTCAGGGCTAGGACTCAGCAGCAGTCCATTGCAATCCTGGACCATATATGGGGCATGCACTGTACTGAGGCACTGCACCAGCTATCAGTGACAGGATACTTTCTCTCCCGTCAAATGCAGTAGCAGTCAAAGGTCAAGAATAGGTTAAATTTTGCAAATTACCGAGAGCAGAATCAGACATGATCTGTCATCTTCCTCTTGCAGGATAGTTCCATCTGGTGGGCTCAGGTTGGGATTGGTTGTCAGCAGGCACCTTTATGCCAAGGCAGCCTGGTCCAGAGAGACTGGGGAGAAGCAGGGAGGCTGTACGGAGACTGGGGAGAGGCAGGGAGGCTGTATGGAGGCCGGGGAGAGGCAGGGAGGCTGTACGGAGACCGGGGAGAGGC